CGGGGAGGATGCCGGGCTCGTGCCGGGCTGGGCGGAACACTCACCCGGTGTGTCTGTGTGGGTGTGCTTCAGGATGGGAAGGAGACCCTTGTGAAGGAGGTGTTCCCAGGGGACAGCGTGCACAGCCTCCTCAGCATCCTGGACGTGATCACGGTAAGAGTCTTTCCCGCCCCCTCTCACGGCCAGCACCCCTTCGCATCCAGCGGGTGCCTTTCAAGGAGGAGCCTCTGGCGTCTTGAGAAGGGTCTGCTGCCCTGGGCTGGGCCCCGTGGCCAGGGTGGGAGTGGACCGGCGGGGGCCAGTGCCGGCAGGACCCTTGGGAGGAGAGGCCCCCGACAGGCCGGGAGCCCCGGGTGCCCTCGCCTCACGCCCGGTGGCTGTGGCCTCCGCAGAGCGCTGAGGTCCTTGCGGGGGTGTCTCTCTTCCCGGCAGGGTCACCAGCGGCCCTATCGCACCGTCTCTGCACGGGCGGCGGAGGACTCCACAGTGCTGCGCCTGCCCGTGGAGGCTTTCTCAGCTGTCTTTGAGAAGTACCCCGAAAGTCTGGTCAGGGTGGTGCAGGTAAGTGCTCCAGGGACTGTCTCGTCTTTACTCCTCCTCCTCCTCCTCCTCCTCCTCCTCCTGTGTGTCCTTCAGTCCCTGCCGTCTTTTTGCATGGACTCAGTTCTGCATGCGTCTGCAGCTGCTGGCCTGAAGGCCATATCCAGGAGTGCAGGCCTTCCAGTGGCCGGGGGGGCGGCAGTGGGGGGGGAGCTTGTCCGGTGAGTGACAGAAGCAAGGAACAAGGGCCCAAAATATGGTGAGTTTTGCAGACTTTTAAAGCATCACGTCTTCTTGTGCATGATAGTTCAAGGACATTGGGGCCACTGAGAACATACCGTGAGAGCACCCCCCCCCCAGGGCCTTTTCACCTCCTTACTCTTCAGGCACGCCAGGATGTCAGAATGTGGTGAGACCCGGGGGCGGGGGGGGGGTGAAAGTGAAGGAATCGACCCTTCCTCTAGGGCGGGAGTTGGCCCCGAGTCTCTGCCGAGGGGCTCCATTTCGGAGGGTAGCCCCGTCGGCCTGCAGTGGAGCAGGCTTAGCCCCTGAGAGACCAGGAAAGGAGGTCCAGGGCATGAGCTCTCGGGGGTCAGATCCGCGTTCCCTGAAGATCCCGTGGGTCTCTAAGGTGCCACTGGACTCCTCCCTCGCTGTTGGAGGGCAGCGGTTGAAGAGGCGTCGCCTGGGGGCCGTGCACAGACCTCCTCCTGCTCTCCCAGGTTCTGTCCTCCGGCTGACGTGGTTCTCCTGACCCTGAGACCAGAGCCAGCCCTGGTGGTCGTGGCACACTCATCGGGGGCGAGGCAGTCCAGGCCGTTGGAAGCGGAGGGCCTCTCTCTTCCGCTGCGGTGTCATGTCTTCCTTCACACCTGCTGCTGTAGCCAGAGGGCTTGTCCTGTTCCGGAGGCGGGTCCCTCCCTCGGCTGCACGCCACATCCCTGCCGCCGTGCAGACCCGACGCCTCCTGCGCTCCTTGTCCCCTGGCTGACCGGCTTCTTCTGCTTTCAGATCATAATGGTGCGCCTGCAGAGAGTCACCTTCCTGGCCTTGCACAACTATCTCGGCCTCACCAATGAGCTTTTCAGCCACGTGAGTGACCCGCTCAGCTGGACCCCCTTGGTGACTCTTCTCCCTGCCCCCTCCCCCTCCCCCTTCCTGGGAGAGGTGAGAACAGGACCTTTTCAGGCACCTGCCGTTGTTAGCACTTCTCCAGGTCTTCAAGGGATTCTTAATTTAGTTGTGAGTGGGTCGTCTTGGCCATTCGTAGGCAGCCAGGGAGGATAATGGTGGGTTCTTTCCTTGCCCGGAGCAATGGCCCTGCCTGCAGAGGTGCCCTTGAGCAGGGGGCATTCTAGTATCCCTTGAGTTTCAGCCATCTTTGTGAGTGGCTAGACTAGGGGTTGAGCGGTTGAGCAGTGGAACAGTCTGATGTTGTAGGTATGTAGAGCTCTCTTTCGGCTGTGCTCCTGCTGAGTGCAGGGGGGGTTGGACTAGATGACCTGCAAGGTCCCTTCCAGCTCTAACATTCTATGAGTCTACGAGGGGTGCCCGGACACCTGCCAGTTCGGCTTGTGCCCTTTTTGCCAGCAGTGAACGGAGAGGTGATTCTTTGATGATCAATTTGATAGCTCATCGATCTGTGTGTGGCGGTTTGATGGGTTGTTTCACTGTATTCCCATTGGCTCTTGCGCGCGCGTGTGTGTGTCCTCACCCAGCCCAACTGGTTACTTGTGTCTCCCCATGCTTGCTGCATAGCTGCACTGCTTAGCAAGCAGTTGTTTAAATAAACAGTTGTATCTCGCACAAATCGTACGAATCCATCATCAATAAATGCTGTGTTTCAATAAAATCCTGCCCTTCGGTGATCATCTAAGCCGTCCTTAGTGACACTAATGGCTGCCAGCCGGTTTGAATCAGCGGCGTACTTGTGCACACACCATTTTGGGAAAACCTGAAGCAAACCGGTCCAGCAGATGTTCATGGTTGCTCAGCACAAATCGAACCGACTGAGTGGTCAGTTTGCATTTGATCGCCACCTTCTGAGGTGGTAGGTTCAGCCATCAGACATGTTCACCGCAGAATTTCCAGTGTCCTTAGGCTAGTGCTGAGTGGTTGATTTTGAAACTGCATGGGGGCTCCTGGGGTGAAGGGTGCCTGTCTGTCTCCCTTTCCTTCCTCCTCCGTCCTCAGGGCATGAGGGTGCAGTGTTGTTTCTGAGACATGTAGACAGGCCTTTGTAGCGTTCATTGTAAGCATCACAGTTCACACATCATGACAGTAGAGGCTGGGAGCCTCGGGGGGGGGGGGGGGGGGGAGAGGAAAGGGAACAGCTGAGTCCCACCAAGGGCACCTGATCTCCGTGGGGTGTATGCGCTGGTTTGGAATCAGGGTGTATCCTGCCCCCCCCCCCAATCCCCGGCTTTGGCGGCTATACACCAAGGCCCTGTCTTGCCTGTGTACTGCAACAGTGCGCCTGTTCATTATGCCACCAAAGCACAGATCAGTCCTCGATGGCTCTTTTGAAAAAGCTTGTTTGGAAACAGATAAAATCTGTAATCTCTGATGGGACCTGAAATCACATAAGGTCTCCCCTGAGGGAATGAGAAGAACGACCATTACAGAAACACTGCCGGGGATGGAATATTAGCAGAGAGGTGTGTGTGTGTGTGTGTGTGTGTGTGTGTGTGTGTGTGTGTGTGTGTGTGATGCGTCTTCTGCCGAGTTGGGCCGTTGGACTCTTTGGACTCGGCTCTGCTGTCTGCTCCTGGGTCAACAGCTCTGCAGGGTCTCCGGCCGAAGCCTTTCGCAGATCTCGGTCGGACGGGACTCGTCTGGGGTTGAAACGGATGGGCCCGGGGAGCTGTTGGACCATTCGCAAACAAAGACTAGCCAGACATTGGCAGACTGCAGATTTTCTTGTGCCAGGTGTCCTCCCTGAGACAGGTGCAGTAGGAGCGTATGGTCTCTGAGCACGTGCTGTGTGCATTCTTCTCCCCCGACGCAAGCGGTTTCCAAGCGCCGGAGGGCTGGGTGGCCAGAGCTGTCCGGCTTCACGGGTGTGGGTCTGCTCCCTTCCCCCCAGGAGATGCAGCCCCTGCGGCTTTTCCCCCAGCCAGGCCACGCCTCCCGCACGAGTCCCGTCCGGCACGGCAAGCGCGGCATCAGCACTTCCTCCGTCGAGGATGCCAAAGAGAGTGCTGGGAAGCAGCCAGAGGCCCCCGCCAAGGACCCAGGTGAGCGAGCCTCTGCCCCTCTGCCCCTCGGCTTCCTCCCCCCCCCCCTTCAGCCTGGCTGGCCCTTTCCACGGCAGCTCCCTGGCTCCACCGGGGGTTAGTTGAGGGGGGAGTGGGGCAGAGCAGAGCTCCGGTCTGGGCAAGTACAGCCCTCCTCCTCCTCCCTCCCTGCCTTCCGCCCTTTCTCTCCACGGACTCCTCCTTCTTCTCGCAGGGGGGCCTCGCCTCTTGAGCACTGTGGCCGAGGAGGAGGAGGAGGCCACCTCCTGTGACCCAGGGCCCGGTCGCCTTCGTCCCACTTCTCTGCCGAGGGCTGCTTCTTTAGCAGAGCCTTCCTTCCCCGAAGCCTCCCCCTCCTCATCCTCACGGTGGCTCTGCAGGTCCCAACAGCAGCCCCTCCCCCCAGCCCCGCCCAGCCCCGCCGCCAGCCAGCCAGCCCTTCTGCCTTTGCTGCTTCCCCTGTAGGGGTGTGTGTGTGTGGGGGGGGTTCCCCTCAGGGACCCCACGGCTGACTTGCCTCCTTTGGAGGCAGTTTGATCCTGCACAACATAAGGCTGTTTGCTCCTGTGGAAGAGAGGGGGGGGGGGCTTTTTTGTGGTCACACTTAGGAGACGAACCCCAAACGAGTAGGGCAGGCCTGTCCCGCCCCATGAGTCTCCTTGGGAATAGCGTTGGACGGCTTCCCGCTCAGGCCACTCGGAGCAGTGGAAATCCGTCTTACACCTCCCCCTCCCCTGCTTTTCTGCCAAACTGGCTCCCGATGCTGCTTACAGCAGTGAAAAGAAAACACCAGCACAAATCCAGATGTGGCGAGAAGGCTCTTGAGGGGTGAGGGTTTTAGTCCGGGCTGGGTGGGGGCGGGGGGGCCTGGCTCCCTTCCCCGCCCCCTCCTGGCTTTGCTGACCTGC